TCAGAACTTCGCTTTGCAGGGATGGCTCAAGAAAAGGTTTGTCTCATCCAAACCCTGAACCCTAATCGAAGTTCCTGAGTGGTTTTCCCGGGCCCACGTCCCCCTTGCTCCCCAAGATCTAGGGTTTAGGGTTTAGGGTTTAGGGTTTGGCTTGTGGCTTCTGCTTCCTCTTGCAGGAAATGGACTCCCTCACCGGGGCTCTTCAGCGAGTCACCGTGGGTGTGTCGCCCATCTAGGGTTTAGGGTTTAGGGTTTAGGGTTTAGGGTGTAGGCACTCTGAGTTGCCTGTGCTCCTGCTGCTGTTCTTGCTGCTGCAGCAGCCCCACTTGCTGCTCCCCCCGCAGCAGCAGCAGCAGCAGCAGCGTGGACCTTTCCAGCTGTGTCTCTCAACCCCTCTTGCCCCATTTGGTCCAATTTATTTGTTTAATTATTTGTTTCGTTTAATTAAATTAATTAATTAATTAATTAATTAATTTATTTATTTATTTGCAGATGCAGGGGACGGTCCCCTCGCGGGTCTTGAAGAGTCCCTTTCTGCTTCCGAGAGAGCTGCCGTGTTGAAGCTCAAGGAGCTGCAGGTGCTGCTGCTGCAGTTGTTGCTGCTGCACTTGCTGTTGCTGCTGCAGTTGCTGTTGCTGGTGCAGTTGCTGCTGCTGCTGCAGTTGCTGCTGCTGCTGCTGTTTGCTGCTGCGGCTCGTTCTGCTCCCCAGCGTGCGCCCCCACCCCCGCCCCGCTGCTGCTGCTGCTGCTGCTGCTGCTGCTGCTGCTGCTGCTGCTGCAGGAGGAGCACGCGTCTTTGTCAGCAATGTTTGAAGCAGCAGTGCTGAAGCTGAAGTTGGAGTTTGAAGAAAAGTATAAACCCTTATATCAGCGCAGGCTCGAAGTGCTGCTGCAGCAGCCCCCAGCAGCAGAACAACCCGCAGACAAACCCCCCACAGGAACCCCCGTGCGTAGGGTTTAGGGTTTAGGGTTTAGGGTTAGGTGCAGGGGTTGGGAGTTGGGGTTGAAGTGTTCGTTGCAGTGCGTCGCACTTGCCCCCGCGCGCGGATCAGGGTTTAGGGTTTAGGGTTTAGGGTTTAGGGTTTAGGGTTTAGGGTTTGCATGCAGGGTTTGCCGTGTTTCTGGCTGCGGGCTTTAAAGGCGAACCGCCTGCTGGCGGACATAATAGAAGAACATGACGAGGGGCCCCTCTCTTACTTGCAGAACATCCGTTGCGAGTGGTTAGTACCCTCGGGGGCCCCGGGGGCCCCCCCG